TTCTTCTATATATTTCGGTCACAGCAAATTTTTTCACGGTCGTGAAATTTTTTTCTCGTGCATTTTGCACGCGAAAAATTTTTCACGACCGTGAAAAAATTTGCTGTGACCGAAATATATAGAAGAATAAATTCAAAACACAAATTTGTTGATGTATTGTGTTGATAATGATAGCAGCTACTGTTTTATATATCAAAAATCATTATACTTGCAATTTGAATATAAAAAAACTTGATACAAAGATCACTGGTGAAAATTTCACCGGAGAAATTTTTTCATTTCACGAGGAACTGTGTACTTAGCTTAAGTTGACCCACCCTATTTGTTTTAGAAAAACATGCAGTATAAACACTCAATATATGAATTTCATAGAATTTCGTTGGATTTTCAATCGTTTTTGGTCTGTACAACTACGAAAAACAATAAAAAAATGTAGAAAAATATAGAAATTGTAAAAAATACATATTCTCTGTTTTTTCATATTTCATCGATTTTTTCGTGTTTTTTTAGTCCAGAAACGATTGGAAATTCATTAAAATTCAATGAATCACGTATATTGAGTGTTTACGCTGAATAGTTGTCTCATTTTTCTGATTTTTTTTCGGGTGGGTCAACTTACAAAATTGGTCGATATTTCAATATGCACGGAAAGAATTTCGCCATGTAACGATATGTGTGAAATGACTTAGGATTATGAAAATGCACGAAAAACTAGTGAAGAAAGATTATACTTGCTTTGCTGATATCTTTGAAATTGTCTTCTTGATGATGGTCCGAAAAATATTTAGTTTTTATAAAAATGATTTTTTGTTGCAAAAAAATTTTATGAGCCGATCCGAGCCGTTTAAGAAGCGTATTTACTCTTGGGAAATACTTTTATATTGGTTTTTGACGTTTCTAAATCGATTGAGACTAGCCAAATTGACGATTTGTCGGTCAAAATACAAAATCGGCGGGGTGGGTCAACTTACAAAGTGGGTCAACTTACACATACTCCCCCTACAATTTAGTGTATAACAACACATCGTGGGGGAAATCACTGAAAAGTAATTTCTATTTGACAAGTAATTTTTGGGTAATTCGTTAAACAAAAAGTAATTTTAAAAGTAGTTTTTCGACTAAAAACTACTACAAATTACTTTTTATTCGATAAATTACTTTTCTATCAGAAATTACTTGTGAAAAATATATTTTTCTATGATAAAAAGCAGAGCGTGTTTTGAGCTGACGTTAGCAGCACTAACTAACGTCAGCTGCTGACATCAGCTGCTAAGGAGTATGCGTTGCGTTGTTTCAACGCATTTGCAGTATAAAATTGATTGAACGATCCATTGTTATGATTGAACGATCCAATGTTATGATTGCTTACCCTCTCGTTTTTATACTGCAAATGCGTTGAAACAACGCAACGCATACTCGTCAGCAGCCGATATCAGCAGCTGACGTTAGTTAGTGCTGCTAAAGGTGATGTCAGATGGTGCAAGTAAAATGCTTGCAGCAAGCATTTTTTTCCAACGTACTTTTGTATTCGATTCCAAGAATGACACTTGCATGCATAAAGGTGGTGTAATACATTAGTGTAAATTTTGGTGAATATTTTTGTTCAAGCGTCCACAAGGTAGGTTGATATGGTCGATTTGATGAAGATATCTAAATATTCAAAGAAATTCGATCATTTCATTACTATAAAATTTACTTTGTGGACGTATACACAAAAATATGGAACAGAATTCCATACAAGCAAAGTGCTTGCAAATGCTTGCGTGCAAGTATTTCACTTGCATACAATTTGGTCGAAATTTTCGCGCTACTTCTTACAAAGTAAAACATGTAGTGCTAAAATTATCGAATTTCTTCGAATATTCAAATATCTTTATAAAATCGATCATATAAACCTATCTCGTGGACGTTTGGAAAAAGATATTGACCAAAATTTACAAAAATGTATTATACTACTTCCACCCACGTGGAATTCAACTCATCTCACACGGATCACACAGCAAAATCAATATTAGAAGACTGACGAATTTTTCCATACATTCTCCTATGTGTAGACCCCCATCGCGCCGGGAATTGCCGGGAAATTCCGGAAAATCCCGATATTTTCACCGCCTTCCCGGTTTCCGGTTTTTGTTCGTTTTCTAGTCAATTTTCCCGATATTTCTTAAAATTTTGAAATAATTTTTTTTTATTCAAATCATAGAATATTATCTTTGTTCGATGATGAATCATAACAATCGAATCAACTTTTGCAACATGGATTTAATCAGTACATATGTTTTGGCGAAGAAGCAGAAAAGAATAATTCTCGGTATAAATTAATCGATTACATAAACATATTTCATTTTGGCGATCATTTTATCAAATAAACAACTCTAGACAATAAGTCGACAAAAATGAGTGCAATACAATCTGGTGCTAAATACCAACAGGACAAGAATCGAATGTCACAGTCTGCTCTACTACTGAATAGCATGGCATACATTGAATCTACCGACGACGATTGCTAATTTTCACGTTTTTGCTTAGAAATATCTTCAGGAACTTCATTATATTTATATACATTTTTTTTTGCTTTTTCCTTTCAATAATATTCCCGATATTTTTCAATAAAAATCCGGATTTTAAAAAAGAACTCCCGATATTTCCCGATTTTGTGATTTAGAAATAAAACATCCCGATTTTCCCGATTTTTCAACGACGAATTCCCGATATTTGCCAAAACATATACTTATGTGTATTGAAAAGATGATACTTATCTGTGATGTTTACACTTATTTATTGTAGATTTTTATTTTGATTTTGTACTTTGTTGTAGCCATCCACGAGTTGGCGAGTTAATATTCTGAAGCAACTTTTTAGTAGGGGAAGGTGGGGAAATTCGGAACGTGGGGAAATCCGGAACACCACCAAATTTCGCCGCAAATGAATAGTTTGAGAAATGCGAACAACTGTCATCGTTTTCTCTAAACAAAACCTCATATTTCCATTAGCAGCCGACGCGTGTGCACGTATTGATAGCTCTGTGCGACATCGACATGAAATCGAGTTGTGAAAATTTAATATTGAGAATGCCTGTCTGCATTGATTTCACAACATTTTTCCAAGAACCAACTCAGATGAATATGTTCATAATTATCGTACAGCATTCATATTTCGACTCACAAAAGGAATTTTGCATGAAAATTCATTGAGTGACCAAAACACGATTATGTTGTAAACCTTAGTGCGTGGGGAATTTCGGAACACCCTATATACCAAAATTTGATCAAGTGATTTTTAATTATTTTCAAGTTGATATCGCATTTTTTATGCATATTTATTATATTTCATGCAAAATTTCGACGAATTATTCATTGCAATTCATGCGATCGGGCTTCACTTGAAATGCACCAAAATGATTAACAGCTATTTCAGAAGCAAGAATTACAAATCCGACTTAGAACAATCGCCATTTTTGAACTTTTCCCTATTGAAGTAAATCCTTCTGTCATTTTCTAGCTCTCCATCAACGTTTTGCATCAAAATTGTTTCAGTTTTCTTTCCATTTATAAAGTGTTTCGAATTTCCCCACAATTTTTGAAAATCGAAAAATCAAGGGTTTTTTGTCAACAAGTGAAAACTTTTCAGCCGAATGGAATTTTATCAAGCGACAACTCCCAAAAGTTAGGTTTTTACACGTACTATATCGTACGACTTTAGAATTTGGAAAAATATTAATTTTTTAGCATGCTATTTAATTATTTCGATGTGTGTTCCGAATTTCCCCACCCTCCCCTACTTACTCTTGGATTCTAAGCTACAACTTTGCTGAAGACATTGAAACGCTATAACCAATATGGGACGAGTATGGACCAAAATTAAAGTTGTCAAAACGCCGAATATATGGCTATATTGGAAAACTTCAAAGCGATGTAGCAAAAAATAATTGCTCACATGGACTAAAACGGAGAGTAGTGTGGAGCTAGTCTATCGAAGCTCTAATCTATGGCATATGTGATTTCGCTCAAAGACCGTAACCAATAGTGATGTATCCTTGTTAGTGTTCTTGGGGGGGATTTTTGTATTTCTTCATATTTTTGTATTTTTTTGGGAAATTCTTGGCTTTTATTGGGATGATTTTTGTATTTTTTGGGTGGGTTTTAGTTTTATCCGTGGAGAATTTCTGTAATTGAATCCTTTGGATTAGCTGGATCTGACCTGGTCCAATGTGTTCTGGAAGTTAAGTCCTCCAGTGTGCCAAATCGCAATATTCATTCCGAATTCCGCTCGGAACAGCCTCAAATTTGAGGTGGCAAATCTGAAAGGAAATATGAACGCCGAAACATAACGCGAAGTATACGAGTCAGCAGCTCAGCAACTGACGTCAGTTATTGCTGCTGATTTCAGCTCATAAGTAAGCTGATTGCAGACTTCAAAAGGCTTGGCAATTGTTTTGTTCGATTAGTCGATGAGTAAATGACACCGAAACACTGTGCCAGATGCTTCGAACAGCTTCTGATATGGACGAATAGCAAACAATACGAGAGTCATTTAGACATTTGAATAAAAAAAACAGTGTTTTTTTCTTGAAGAAGTATGAATGTCGATTGCTTCGTTGTGTGAACGCCATTAATTGATACAGAATTGTTTCCATTTTAATTTAAAATGAACCATTCCTCTTTTTCAGGTTATGTAATACACCCCAATGTATATAGAATGTGTGAAACACAATTACCAGCAGAACGATTTAAATTCCACATTGATGACTTCATCGTTAAAATTAAACATTATACATGTTCACAATGATGATCACATTGATAAGATATAATTGTTGTGTTATGATTTGAGGCTTAACGGGCATTACCAAATCGTTAAAACTGTAAACAAATCACACTATTTATGAAAGAATCACAGTTATATATGTCATCCGGTTTAACATGTTAATCAATCAATGAGTTGCATTTGGATACATGACTTCAATGGAGACAAAAGTTTACATTTATTGGGAAAAACGAACCAGAGAAATTATATTCCATAAATTATATTGCTTGTATTGGTGTAACATATGAATTCTTTTATACACGAATGAAGGCGTGTTCCGTTCACCATTTGACTTTTGATTTCATTTCGTTCGTTCGTTCACACACATTTATACATACACATAAACACAGTCGATTGTAGTGTCACAGTCGCTAACACAAATTTGCATATATATATATATATAATATTTTCTTCATATCCTTTCAACACCACATACAATTGAATTATTTTTTCAAAAGGAATAATCGATACTTTGTTTATTAAAATAAACGGTATTTTAAACAGATAAGCCAGTATTACACTTACCCATTTTGTTTGTGACACAAATTATGATTATGTTTTTAATGAATACTTCTGTCTACACAATCAATATCTTCATTCCAAATAAGGTGCATAAAGCTAAATGCATGAAATTTAAAATAGTTTCAATGATTCTATTTTTCAAATTTTTGTTTCACACTTTTTCTTTAATGATCGGAAGCCCGATGTTTCTATTCAATTTTTTCTTTGCAATCGTTTCTCACTGTAAGTAGATTTTGTTTAATATTTGTATGAATATACAATTTTGCAGAAAAAAAAATCACTGGAAATTACAATTGTTCATGGCCGCTAACTAATGTTGAAAGAAAACAAAATGAATATACACAGAAACTCGAAAGTTCATATAATAGACTAGCAGATGATGTAATATGTAGCTAGACTAGAGTAGAGTACTAAATAAAGTACACAGTGAGAATAAGAAGCTGTCAGTGTATTTATATGTGTGTGAGTTTATATGTTTTATTTTGCGCATGTATTTGACATGACAAATACATCGGAATAGGCCATCACATCAGTTGCTTGAAAAAATTAATTGTTTTTTTTTTAAATCTATAGATTCATATATCTTTATAATGAAAGTTAGTTGTCAAATCCACGACGACGACGTGAAATGCCACCCAGTAATGGTCTCGGTTTGAATAAATCGTCATTGGAATACCTTTTTTTACTGGATACTTGATCATCTAAAATTAGAGAGATTAATAAAAAACAATCATGAAATAAGTTACACTATATACCTATATGTGGTGAGCCTTCTTGCTTAATGCTGCATTCTCGCAATTTTTTTGATGGTCGTGCGTCTACCGTATCATTATCAATGGACTTGGATGTCTTGGACATTATTGTCGAACATGCATTGACCAGATGTGTGACAGAAATGCCTGCTGTTTCTACTTCACTTGCTGCGAATCCGACAAAATTTACATCTCCATCATCATCATCCTCATCATATTTATTTTTTTTCAATGAGTTTATTTCATCCACTTGTTTCAATGTTGTCATATTAGTTGTATGAGGTGATATAGGATCTATTATCTTCTTGCTAATTGGACTCGAAATGATTGGACCAGACATATTTCTGCCCATCCTATTTTCTACACACACAAATTCCACTTCAATACCTTGAGTATCATCGAGCATATTTGAGGCGTTAGTTCGGATATACTGTTTTGCCAATACAGTCGCTTTCTCTATATCAAATAATTGAATACAAGTCTGAACATATTTTTGTATTGACGTATAAATAATTTGAAAGGAAACTTACCAAGTTTTTTCTGATTGCAACGTTCAATTTGTTTTCGAATTTTCGTTAACCGCTTTGCTTCAGCAATATTTGCAGCTACTTTGGGCTTCATAATTTTCTGCTCAAATGTTTGCTTAATAGATGACAAAACAGGGTCGTCTCGGTTTTCTCCAATGAAAGAAGTTAAATCGAGTTCATTTCCAGTCAATATTTGATCAATAACAACAGGCTGCGAGTTTGGAATAATCACCTGCTCCCTGTACGTATCTTCTGAAGATGAATACTGTGAGGTTACATGTTCAGACTCTTTTGAAGATATATTATTTGTTCGATTATTGGTTGTGGACTGTTCATTGATATTGCTTTCATTGTGGCTAGATGAACCACATCCGTCATTGGAATCTTTTGAACGAGAACGTTGTCGTGAAGTAGGCCCCTTATGAGTAGAGTGATCGTCTTTCCTTGAAGATCGTTCTCTATTTGAATCCTTTTTTCTGTGTGAACTGGTAGGGAAAGGTACATTCTGCCTGGATTGATCTGCATGTGAATCGGCCTTACATTTTGAATCAACACTCTCGTTGGAGTCAAGTTTGTGGCTGTACATTTTTTGTTCCATTTCAAGATCCTCCATTTTTGCATCATTTCCCACATTGTCTATGCACTTTTTATCATCGTAGAACTTTCCCTCGAAACTCGTGATCAATACTTTTTTTTCTGAATTGAATGTATCAATAGACAAATTGTCTGTGTCTATAACTAAGCTATTGCTTGACGAAGAGTTTTCGTTGAATTTCTGCATCTGAGCTTCTTCACTTATTCCGTATGGGCAAATGTTCTGAGAACTTTCATGGTATGTCTCAAGAACTGAATCAGTCTCTCCATCACCAGTTCGAGTATTATATGTTACAATTGACAACCGACTAGTACTAGATACTTGGGATAAAACAGAGTCTTGACTAGTGTTGAGGTCACTTGTGTTTGAAATTATGTTTTCTGACAACGGTAATTTTTCAGCGGAGTCTATTGTTATTTCTGGTGCCATACGGTTTTCATCAGTTATTTTTCTGCTCGGATTACCATTATCGTCCTTTGTATCAATTACATTATTTTCACTCCGTTCCCTCAAATTACTGTATGAACTATTATTTGAATCATTTGAGGTTAAACCACTGATCGAAGAGAGATTTGATTTCACTTCATCTATATTAGCGCTAGTGAAACCATTACTTTGACCATTGTCAACATCATCATCATCATCATTATTACTTTTATCATTAGTAGCATCATCATCAGATATATCCATGTCGTCATTCGATTCCAAGAAAGACGGTTCTATCGGCTCAAACGCAGGTGATTCTAAATCTTCATTTTTTCCATCACATTCTTCGGGCGTCTGGTATCTTACGGGAATTGATAGGGACTTGTCTGAATCTGGACTAACTTGTTCCAGCTCGTAAATGGGCAATAGTGCGTCTGTTTCGATTTCTAATTTCAAATTCATATTCATTGAAGGTTTTTCGATGCCTAACAGCTTATAAGCCACATCTTCAATTTTCGGGACGAAATTTGTATTAAGTTTTGGATTAACAACCTGGTCTACAATTCTTCCGATGCCCGCTTCAAAGAAACTTTTCCTGTGAATGTAACAAATCGCATTATTCTTTTTCCAAAAATAATTTGAAATTCTAATATTTACTCTGCAATTAATTTTCTTAGTTTTTCACGCAATTGGTTTTTATTTGTTTGCGAGTCCCACTTTTGTTCATCCAAAAACAAACTCACGGAGGATTCAACACGATGTTGAAGATTCTGATATGCAGGTTTAGTGTCAACATCTGCCAAGCACTCACGACGGAACTGGTCGAACAATCCTTCTGATTTCACTAAAATTTAGAACAATTAAAATATATACAAACGTACTAAATATCATTAGAAAAAGTAAATAAACATAACTTCAATTGATTAGTTTGTTTTGGTATGGAATTTTTAAAAAAACATTCAAGGCGGGATAAACAGAGTTTGTTTTCAGTATCTCCAAATCCGTATATGTGGAAGATATTTTCACGAAATTTTAACTAGTTTGAAATATACATTATTTACCTTTACAGACGATTTCATCGATAAGACCAGAATCTAGATTGCTAGCCTGTTTAAAATCTTCCATATCTAATGTTTCCTCAATAAATTGATATTATTATGTATATTCCAGTGATTAAATCTGAAGGTTTGATTATGTCAAAATTATACTGCGATTTCCAACCAGTCCGCCTGTGGCGTTGTGATGGTTTTGTGGACAAAACTATTTTTATAAACCAACATAAATTTGTTTGCGAAGTGATTTTTCTACTACTAAAGAACCATCTCTGTTGAAAATCAGAAAGCTTAAATAGCACGCATGTAGTAGTAGAACGTAGTATTTGGTATATTAAAAGTTATACAATACAAAATTATTGACGTTTGGTAGAACACACATTTTATTCGAAATATTATGAATATTATTCAGGATTAATTATGATAAATAAAGTTGAAGCGACATAGTGCTTGAGGTAAGGATGCGATAATTGGCCCGTATCCCAAGGAATTGTCGTACAGCTCGAATAAGGGTGCCGCTACCAACTTGTAGTTTTTGGGCACAGCGAATGGTGCTTTCTCATGCAATTGTACCAAAAACATTTGTTTATGCTCTTTTGGATTGGTAATGTGTGGCAACATGTAGGGATATTGTGAGGGTTCGAAATTCGGTCGCCACCAGTTACCTATTGAGATGTAAAAGATGATTTCTTAGCAATTTTTCAAACATATGAATTTCAATTTTAGCTACCGATAATATCTTCAACAATCCATTCTTGCTTGATACCATCTTTTCGTCCAAACGTTTCAGATAGCAAACGCTTCAAGCCTTCCACTTCATCCTCACCCGGATTCAGCTCACCACCCGGTAGTTTGAAAAATGTTGTTCCTAATTTAAATCATCGCAATATTGTCAGCGAAATTTAACCCTATCTAGACAAATCGTTGTAAATGAATATTTACCCAATTGCAACAAGAGTACGTGGGGCAAACCGTGCTCATGTACCAGTAGGACTCCTTCCACTGAACGACGCATACCTATTTTATCGAATTCATCACGCATCCGCTGGAAACGTGCTGGTACGCTGGGGTCCTTCTCGAACAGCGGTTCCTTCGTACCGAATGTATAATTGGTCAGCGGATACAAATTTATGGTTCGATTTATTGTAATTGATGAGTTCGTGTTGATTGGTTTTTGCGCTGTGCTAACATTATTGTTGATAGCATTATTAGTTGCACCACGCGGCCATCCACTACCGGCTTTGTTCTGGCCTGTCTCCATTTTGTTATGCTTAAAAATCAATAAATTTACTATTGAAATGAAATAAAATTATTTAAATTGCTTTGAGTTCTTACTCAATTTGCGATTGGACGCTTTTGGTATCTTTCTTCAAAATGCCTGAAGCTATTTCGGTTGTCGGATGAAAAAGTGTTTTATGAGGCAATTTATGCAGATAATATAGTATTCAATTTCCGAATAGGTATTATAAAAACAAAGCGTTTGTTATTGTATGTCAAAATAGTTTGATGTGTTTTCCGCTAGAGTGTTTCATGTACGTACATACATAAATTCTACTACGTCATTTTCGAACTTTATTATTCATCTTTTCGTTAATATGATTTTGATAGATAAATAAAAAAAATTAAATTTTTCATCATAACTTAACTTTTAAATTCTTAACATGGCAAATTACATTTGACGTCTTTAAACTCTCACATTTCTGTGAATTAGAAAAAAAAATTGATTTGTATTCCATTTATTTATTTTTTGTCCAACAAAAATTCTTTAAAATGAAAATGCCCAACGAATAAAGCAAAATTTCCTTTCATTTTTATAAAATGTATTTCAACACAGCCCAAGGGTTTATCTTTTTTATTTAGACAAAAGTCTCTGCAAGCACCCAGTACAAATATATTTCAACGATTTTTTTTGTTTCTAGGGGCTAATTGCTTGTTTTTGCTTTAAATTCACATCCGCCAATATTATTTGTTATAGGTTTACTGTATTCAACTAAAAGGTTGGCCTCATTCTTGATGTTGCATTAGATATGGACATATCCTTGTATTTGTGCTCTAATGAGGCGTCTCCATGAAAACTTAAACCAATTTTTTAAATTTCATACCAATAGCTGAAAAGGGAAGAAATTATAAATTGACTGATTTCACTTTTATAAATAATAATCTTGCATAAAGGCATACAAATATATTAAAGTATGAATTTGTTTTTTTTTTTCTTCATAAATGTAAGCCACAATCCACGCTTGGACTAACAGTTGTTAACGAATACTGCATTCATCGGCTGCATCCACGAATACTTGCATCGTAGACTCGTTCATTCATGTTAATAGCCGTATAGACTCCGACACCAGATATTGAAGGCAATTCTCGTGAGGTTCCGGGTATGTACTGCGATCCCGCTATATTCAAATCAGATGCTGTACTGTGGTGTAGTGTCGTGCTATCTGTAATGATGTCAGTTGTAATAACAGGTGGCTTAGGTATTACATATCGAATATTCGTTGAATGATCATCGGGTGTTTTTTCTAATGATTTAGATTGAAAGCTGGCACTTGAACTGGAATTGCTAGAAGACACCGAAGATCTATAATGATCGTTGCTTTTGTTTGAAAGTATAAATTTGAAGAATTCATATGTTGACCAGCATATAGCAGTTGCTGGCATTGAATACAACACACGTGCTCCTAAGCCTTTGAAGAAACCAATTGGGCCTGCCACAGTGTATATCTGCACGATACAAAAAAATAATACTAGTTTAGGTAACCTAAGAAACCAATTTTACATTTTGAAAATTAATAGATCTAATCTCGAGTGTGTCTTTTTTGCAAACCAAAATCATATATGATTTCTTTGAAAAGTTGCAGAAATCGACATAATTTTGTTTAAATGATTTGAACATTTCAGATAGCACTGAATATTAGCAATTTTATTTTTTGAAGTCAGTCTCCAAAAGACTCATCTTATTGTCTTATTTTCTACACTACTAACCTACTTCGAATATTTGTGAACTGATTTTACCTGTATGATAGCTTCTTTCATTCCACGTGTTACCCCAGCGCCGGTTTCCTGAGTATTCAATAAAGTTTTTACAACATCTAAGGGCGTTGTAAATGCTGATGCTATCGCGCCAGCTGCACCACCGGCCACTACATGTACACCTGGATTGTACTTGCGGTCCTTGTTCAGCTAATAGAGGTTTTCAATACATTAAAAATTGTTAGTAATGATAGAATCTTCATAGTTCTGATTATAGAACTATTAACATCTCTATCAACATATTTATTAACATCTATGTTAAGTACCTTGTTTTGAAAGAGTTCGTAGGTTGTAAAATGGATAGTTTGATGTGGTAAATTCATACAAAGTTGAGTTATATATGATCTGTAAAAGGCCTTAAAGCCCTCAGTCCGGTAAACACAAGCCGCACATTGCAATACAGTCTTGTACGGTGAATTGTACATTTGTAATCGTTGTTTTATCACTTCGGTTGGATTTGAAATTGCATCGTGAATCAATGTTGCAGTTACACCAGAAACGACTGCAATAATAACCAAACGCCATGGTTTTTGATAACTTTAGTAGGAATTTTTTTTTTTCACTTTTTCATTTTATTTGTTCATTTTACGTCGCCAAGTGAATATGGCTGAATATCAAAGTTTTTACAGAAAAAATGAATGCAAAAGTGAGTCTCGGAAAACGCAACTCTCACAAAACGCAATTGTCCAGAAAAAGCAACCGAATTTGACGATCTTGAGACTTTTTTCCGGGGGTATTGGTTGAAAAAAAAAATTTCTCGGTTTCAAATTTTTGGAATTAAAGAATCACCCAGGAATGCTAAAAACAAGTTTGTTTGAATTATTCCAGAAAATGCAACATTTCGGAAATTGCAACTACCTCATATACATTTTAATTGATTTTCCCGAGAATCTACTGTATAACCGAAACACTGAACTTGTATTTAAAAATTTTATGGAATCAACTTACCATAGTTTACGTGGTCGTACTGTGGAAATACACTTGACATTACATTCTTAGAATGTTCATACGTTGCAAAATAGAAGGCATGTGCAGGTCCAGCGCCAGCTACAACGGCTGTGACACCACGGAACGGCCTGAATTTTTTTAAATCGATATTGGTTAATGTATTATAACTGTTAATGATGGTTTGTTGCATCATACTAATTTGATTTTATATTATGATACCTTAAAATTCCTTCCGATTTTATCATGTGGCTAAACGTACTGACTAGAGTTTGGTTTGATGCGGTAGGCAGAAGACTTTGCATGCGTGTCTGTAAATGAAATACTAAGCTTTGAAAAAAAAACTATAAAAATTCAACAAAAATTGGGCAGCTGGAGTCAATTAGCTTATTTTCAATCAAGTTAAGGAGGGCAATGAATGATTTTGCACTAGCCATATGCATCTTGGGATCATATCAGGATCGACAAGATTTTGAATTAGCTAAGCGCAGCGCGAAATTTTTGAGTTTGATCATTAAGAATATTGAAAATGATTATAATTTGGATTTTTAAACTGCGCCAATTTTATGGGAGGGATGTTTTTTGAACTGCCCAAAATCAATTTTGGAACTGCCCAAAATGGGCAAAAATACCGCTTATTTTACTCCCTGCTTTCAACCATTCATTAAAATTCAGTTCAGACAATAATTCTTAAACGAAAAGAGCCGGATTTTTAACGAGGCGAGAACTGATAGTTATTGTTATTATTAATCATTGTAAGCAAATACTAATTGATGTAACAGTCTTGCACTCTTTTCCGGCCACATTCTATTATAATATATTCAGCCAGAGCTTGGCTTAGATAAAATAAAAATAAAAATAAAAAAAATAACAGAAACTCAAATATATTTCATACAAATCCTGCCAGGCTGGAAGCTACAAATTTACCACCCTATCAGTTCATACTTTATCTAGTAAATGTACTCAATGTCTATTGCGCAAACCAATTATTTGAATTCAGCTCATGGAACGAATCATGTCAACTTATTTTCAAATCGGATCTGTGGATATCGCGGGCAATTCGCCGATTAATACCCAAGAAAGATTGTACAAAATTAGGGTAACAGGTCGGTAGCTCCGAAAAGTAGAATAACTTTGCAATTTTTTTCAAAAATTTACTCTAGGTTAAATTTCGAGAGTGAGATAAAATCAACAAAAACTGCTTCTTTAAGATCCTTCTTCGGGCATAGAGAAGTTCAACGGTACACATATCAACAGAACCATGAATTGAAAGTGGCTGAACACAGATGAATAATTAATTTTATAGACATGGTGCAAATTCTTGGTGTAATTTGCCTCAATGTTAGTTCATATGATAGCCGTCGAGACGTTCAAATCGTTCAAAAGAATTTCACTGGTAAATAAAAATTGGGCACTTTTGAGAATAATATAAAAAATCGACCCTTTCAAGAAGTTTTTCTCTCAGTTCAACTACATTCTTCATACATTCGCTTTTTTTCTCATCGTATTTTCTTGTGAATTTGGATAATTGTAATTTGTCAGTAGTTGTACAAATTGTACACTTATCTTTATCTACCATAATGAAATAACAATAATGGCTTGCAATCTATTCTATGATAATAAATTCATCCATTTTTTTCAAGTAGAAAATAAATATTTCTTAATAAGTTTTCATGATAAGTTGAATTGATTTATTTTTCTATTCTTTTCTTATAATTCTTACTAAAGAATTTTTGCTTTTGATCATCGATTCAATAAAACACCCGGAAGATTATACTAGATCCCAATGAGCTTAAAGAGCAGATACAGTGAATTTCACAACATATTTCTTTTAGAATTGGGATAGTTTTTAAGTTTAAAAAAATCGTATTCACTAAATACCTTGATGGAGTCCACTGGATACATGACACAATGTTCCAAAATGCCTGCCGCTCCACCTAGAAGGTTAAAAAATGTTATCCGTGTTATTTTCAATGGTAATAATAATAAAAACACTAACCAGCAATCATGTTGTGAAGGTGTGAAGGTGTAGGCAATTGTTCATAATCATCGAAATTCATATTCTGCTATAACAACGATTGATCTTGACGAATAATTTTTTTTGTAGTTGTATCTAATTACCGGATTTGTTTGGGAAATTCGTCTTTCTAGAATGGCATTCAATTTTATACATTCAAATGAGAAAAAGTGTAAGGGTAAGTTGTTCAACTTATACAAAAGATATCATTTGCTTTACAATGTGAGCTACAAATGGAATAGGTCTTAAATCCCCACAAATAAAATTTATAAATATATATATATATCATTGCTAAGTATTACATAAATTTTGATTTGACACGGGTATGCTACGGACATTTTTCGTATCATACCTACCAACAATGATTGTAACACTTTTAGACAAAATATGTGATTCTTGCAATCAATTGTGTTTTTGAAACATTAAAAATGGGACAATCTGTATGGTATCTGATATACTAAAATTTTGGATCAAAAATTGTTCACCAAATATGACGATTTTTGTTTGTAATATGTCTGGATCTTATATTCTGAAACGTCTAAAACTAATACGAAACAATACAATTTTAAGCCGTGTTAATTGTAAGGAAAATGAATGTTTATTAGAATATCACTTTACTATTTTTTTTCTTTTTCCTCGTTTGAAACACTTATTTAATCACAATGTGCGATCGAATGGTTGCACGTTCGCGTAATGATAATTTTTCGCCTCTTTCTCGTTTCTGTCAAAAAATGTGATTCTACGTATTTAAGAATGATATCGAATCTGTCAGTACCTGCTTCATATGCACGTATTTTTCACATTTTGATGTTTGGCGCGTGTTTGTGTTTGTATGTCGGCAAAGTATATGCATATGAGGAGTATGTTTCTTATTTGAACTCTTGAAAAAGAACGTACCCCTAATAACACAACTGTCAAATTATTTTGTGGTTTGTATTTAAAGAAGGAAAATTTAATTATTCAAAGAATCTGTATTCGTATTTTATTCTTCCCGTTCAGTTTAATATTTTTCCGATCAAAAAATGCGATTATATTTGAAACATAAAATTTTATTGAAGTCGCAATAAAAATAAATCATCTGGCGAGATTGAATTGAAACTTTAGCTCCATACTATATTAAAACAATTAATATGAAATTTATTATTTGTAACAAATAAAACTAATACAGAAGCTGGGAATATTAATTTATACATCTGTTATAGATGAAAAGCATTTAGATATGATTATTTGAAACAATATTCTATATTAGTTGTTACGATCAGAAATCCTAAGGAAGAATGGCATCACTCAAAGTTGCAGGTGGATATTTGTGATCAAATTTTGGAAAATAAATAGTTTTTGGTTATTTCAAATTATATATTTTCTTTCTCAATTAGTTCGTGTTCGACCATTTAACAACAGGTATGTAATAGTCATCGACATTGTTTATGTGCATTTAACTAGGCCTCTCATTCCCAATTCGTCATGATTTCCGATCAGTGCAGTCAATGAACAACCAGATCGATCGCGTGCTATTTTTTTCATTTATTTTTCAAAAACGGTCGAAATGGTTTAAAAAAGTTTTCAACTGATTATCTATAGGAGAAATTGGCATTTTTATTCTTCAAGGTGTCCATTCATTGTATTGCCTCCTTTGCACCAAGTGTGTTTTGCAGATAAAAAAAAGTGTTTTAGTATTTAGTATTTCATCAACACCGCCGAAAGCTGGCTTGATATTTTAGTTTTTTCAGGAAAATGACTCCAAGAGTAATGAAAAACCTGATCTTTTCGTGTTTATACTGTTTGGGGTAATACATAAATAGTTTCAATTTAATATTTAATCTCGACTAGTGTTAAAATTTTATCTATGAACTGATACAAAAATTTTAAATCTGAACATGGAAATGAATGTAGGTTGCCGCATGTCAACGGTCCAATATAGACTATCTGAAGCGTTGAACATCGTCAATCAATTTATCAAAGAGGTGATAATTTGAAGAGAAGTTTTACGTCCTATCTAAAAAATAAGTCCCTGTTGGCAGTTTTGAATCTACAATTCATGTCGAGACCGAAAGATGTTAACAAGCGCATACTGAACCGGATTATAGCAAAAATGAGAATTATTCTGGAGATGAACCATTGCTGAAGGATCTGTGTGCTATTTTTCCAACTATCAACATTACTGAGGAGTTGGTTATGGATACGATAAATAGCCTTCCAAACAACATAGTATCAGGACCTGATGGAATGCCAAATATTTTTGTCAAAAATGTACTGCAGCACTATTGAAGCCAATAACACACATGCTTAAGAAATCATTAGACACTGGATTTGTTCCTGAAATTTGGAAAAGTTCATTCGTGAGACCGGTGCACAAAAGCGGTGTTAACGCCAAAGTTGAAAACTATCGTGGCGTAGCCTTGCAGTGTGTAATACCGAAGTTGCTTGATTCCATCGTTGCCAAACACCTTAATTACCACATGGACAATATTATTGATGACAGTCAACATGGATTTATGAAATCTACAACTACAAATTTGACTGAATTTACATCGTGTACAATTTTAGGCATGAAAAACCAAATACAAACTCATGCAATTTACTTGGATATTGCGAAGGCATTTGATTCGGTCAACGTTGATTTCCTTATCAGCAAATTTGTAGATCAAGTCATATTTGTATGGTCGCCAACAGATTGTCAAACTGAATAATGACGTGTCAAGCCTCATTGAAGTTACATCGGGAACTGGACAAGGATACCCGATTGTTGCTACATTGTTTCTGTTATTCATCATTGATTTGCCAAAACACGTAAACGTCTCGATTCTTCGGTCGTTTGCTGATGACACACGCCTGTGGAAGCACATCAGACATTATGATGACTGTCTGGAATTACATGTAAGAGAATGAAGAAGCTTTAGCTTCCTTCTGTATTTTTTGCTTGCAAGCTGACCTGAAAAGGCTTGTCGAATACTTTAACCTGAACAAGCTAAAACTAAATGTATCCAAGACCAAACTTGCATCATTTCATCGCGGCATCCTGGAATTTGACTTCGAATATTCCATTGGCAACGATAAAATTGATCGGACCCACGTGATAAGGATCTAGGAGTAGCACTTGACCATAAATTGAATTTTAATGCACACATTGAATACATTACAGCCAGAGCGAAATCACGTTTAGCATGAATTAAACGGTTTGGATATGAATTTGATCATAGAAATTGTTTTCCACATTTGTATTGCCGATTGTGGAATATGCTTCCCAAATTTGGAATCCATACATCGCTGAAAAAATTGCACGAGTTGAATCGATCCAGAAGCAATTTTTATTGTTTGCACTACGTAAAATAAAATAGCCACAAAGAATCAGGAAACCACCGTACGAATGCCGACTGCTTGAATTCAGTGTTTGGTTGAGATAACATCCTAAGATGAGATACCAGATAAGATAGATAAGATCTAGGATAAGATATTATCTTTTATCTTATCTAGATGAAAATTTCATTTTGCGGATTCATCTTATCTTTATCTATTCTTCACAAACATGTGTTTTAAGATTGCTGAGCATCTCAGCATTTCGTAAGGCACGGATATATCCGAGCATATCGAAGACGCATACAGTGGCGTGCGTTGCTACGTGCAGCTGAAACGACTCGACCGGAATGTGTATGTTGCTGCTGCGTGCAGCCACATCAACTGAACACACTTCGGTCGAGTCGTTGCAGCTGCACGTAGCAACACACGCCACTGTACTATACAGTATGCGTCGTCGATATGCTCGGATATATCCATGCCTTACGAAATGCTGAGATGCTCAGCAATCTTAAAACACATGTTTGATTCTTCATATTTTTCCAATTATCTATTGTCAAATTTTAGATAAATTTTAAGATAAATGAAGGCTCCATAAGTAGAACAGGTGTAGGTGTTATACGTCATCGAAATACATTTTGAGCGAAATAAATTTTATAACGTCGCGACAAGAGACTCAGGTTTCCTAACATTGTTATCATTACCGATGCATCACAATAGCTATTCCAAGTTTGAACCTATCAATTATATGCTGAGTACATACAATGAATATTATAAATACTTTGTTCCTATCAAACCACCTAATCTACCTAATGAATGTAATATTACTCCAGTTCCAGTTTGTGATACTTATTTAATTGATTTTACGACAAGTGAAAAACTGAATATTTTAAGAGAAACAGAATTTGGAGAGAGTAAAGTTAATTAGAATGATATTATCACATTGTAAATAATGTAAATATAAATATTATTATATTTATACTAAATAAACCACCTCTGGCGAAGAAACGCTGTATGGTGCAGAATAATAATAATAATAATAATAATAATAATAATAATAATAATAATAA